TTTTTTTTTTTTTTTTTTTTTGAGACAGGGTTTTACTCCGTTGCCCAGGATGATGGAGTACAGTGTTGCCATCATAACTCACTGCAGCCTCAAAGTCCTAGGCTCAAGCAATCCTCCCACCTCAGCCTCCCAGGCCTCCCACAGCTAATTTACTAATTTTTTTAGAGACAGGGTCTCACTATGTTGCCCAGGCTGGTCTCAAATGCCTAGCTTCAAGTGATCTTCCCATCTGGGCCTCCCAAAGTGCTGGGATTAAAGGCATGGGCCACCATACCCAGTTGAAAATTTCACTTATAAAGATTTGAAAGACTGGTAAAACTAATGTGTGCTGTTAGAAATCAGGGTAGTGGGTACCCTGGAGACGATGTGGTGGCTGGGAGAGGGTACAGGAGGATTCTGGCAGGCTGGTCGTGTTTCTGTTGCTGGATGTGAGTGCTGGCTACATGAGTGTCCCATCTGTGAAAGGTACCCACTGTACTATTATGATTGAACCCTTTTCTGAATGTATGTTATGGGGGAGCGTTGCAGAAACAAACCCTAATTTGCTCAGCCTCTTTACATCCACATCTTTGGGTAAGCCCTGCCCACAATGACTCTGGACTTCTCCATGTAACTTGCTTTGGCCAACAGGACGAGAACAAATGTTGTGCAAGCAGTGGCTTAAGAGGTGCTTTGCACACTGGGGCTAGCCCTCTTTTGCTGCTTTTAGGAACCCTGCTACCACCACTGTGAACAAGCCCAGGCTAGCCAGCTAGATAATTATGGACACGTAGCCAAGTCACCCTCTGGGCCCAGATAACATCAGGACAACCATCAGATATGTGAATACGGCCATCAACCCGGCTTCAACCTAGCTGCCAGGTGACCACTAAAATCAGCTGAGCTGGCCTAGAGCAGAACTGACCAGACAATCCATAAAATCATGAGAAATAAACACTCATGTTTTAGCAAGGCATGGTGACTTGTGTGTGTAATCCCAGCTATTCAGGAGTCTGAGGCGGGAGGATCACTTGAGTCCAGGACTTTGAGGCTACAGTGAGCTATGACTGCACCACTACACTCCAGCCTGGGCAACACAGCGAGATTCCCATCTCAAAAAATGAAACTACATGTCTGTGTTTTAAAGTAGTTTTGGGCGGCTTATTTATCAGCAAAGGGAAGCTAATGTGTATATTAAAATTTAAAAGTTTATTTTTAAAAAAGGTATCGGCCAGGTACGGTGGCTAACAGCTGTAATCCCAACACTTTGAGGGGCCAAGCCAGGGGGATCACCTACGGTCAAGAGTTCAAGACCAGCCTGGTCAGCATGGCAAAACCTCATTTCTACTAAAAATAACAAAAATTGGCTGGGCATGGTGACAGGCACCTGTAATGCCAGCAACTCAGGAGGCTGAGGCAGGAGAGTCGCTTGAACCCAGGAGGTGGAGGTTGCAGTAAGCCAAGATCACGCCATTGTACTCCAGCCTGAGCAACAAAAGGAAAACTCCATCTCAAAAAAAATATATATATATGGTATCATACAGCTTTTAAAAACCAAAAATAGCCAGGTGCAGTGGCTCATGCCTGCACTTTGGGAGGCTGAGGCGGGTGGATCATTTGAAATCAAGAGTTCAAGACTAGCCTGGCAAATGTGGTAAAACCCTGTCTCTACTAAAAATATAAAAATTGGCTGGGCATGGTGGCACACACGTGTAATCCCAGATACTTGGGTGACTGAGGCACAAGAATCACTTGAACCTGGGAGGCAGAGTTTGCAGTGAGCTGAGGGTGCCATAGCACTCCAACGTAAGCAACACAGCAAGACTCTGTCTCAAGGAAAAAAAAAAAAAAAGGTCAGGTACAGTGGTGGCTCACGTCTATAAGGCCAGCACTTTGGGAGGCTGAGGCGGGTGGATCACCTGAGGTGTTCAAGACCAGCCTGGCCAACAGGGTGAAATTCTGTCTCTACCAAAAATACAAAAATTAGCCGGGCGTGGTGGCAGATCCCAGCTACTCAGGATGCTGAGGGAGGAGAATCGCTTAAACCCGGGAGGCAGAGGTTGCAGTGAGTCAATGTCACGCCACTGTACTCCAGCCTGGGCAACAGAGTGAGACTCCATCTCAAAAAAAATAAAGAATAAAAAAATAAATACAGTCAATACTCATCATTCATAGATTCCATATTTGCAAATTTGCCTACTCATTCAAATGTATTTGTAACCCCAAAATCAATACAGGCAGTGCTTTCACTGTCATTCACAGACACGCGCAGGGAACACTTTGAGTTGCTCCAGACATGTTCCAAATGAGGATAAAGAAGGCATTGTCACCCTCTTGTTTCAGGCCCCGCTCTATAAACAAGTATCCTTTGCCCAGTCTACTTGATGTCATGAATGTGAACCTTTTTCACATTTTTGTCGGTGATTTTTGCTGTTTAAAATAGCCCCCCGGACGGGAGCAGTGGCTTACGCCTATTATCCCAGCACTTTGGGAGGCCAAGGCAGGCAGATCACTTGAAGTCAGGGGTTCGAGACCAGCCTAGCCAACATGGCGAAACCCTGTCTCTACTAAAAATAAAATTAGCCAGGCGTGGTGGCGGGCGCCTGTAATCCCAGTTACTAGAGAGACTGAGGCAAGACAATTGCTTGAACCCAGGAGGTGGAAGTTGCAGTGAGCCAAGATCATGCCACTGTACACCAGCCTGGGCAACAGAGACTCCAGCTCAATCGATCAATCAATCAATCAATAAAATGGCCCTCAAAAAATAGTGTTGAAGTGCTGTCTGGGTTCCTAAATGCAAGAAGGGTATGATGTACCTGATCAAAAAAAATGTGTGTGTGAGATAAGCATCATGCAGGAATGAGTTACACTGTTGCTGGCTATAAGTTCCCGGTTACTGAAATCAACATTATATATTAACTACAGTGCCTTTAAAAGGAGACATACATAAAATAAAGCTATATATTTGACTACGGGCTTGCAGGAACCTAACCTAGTATTTCCCATAGGAGCAATGGATTCTCCACTGCTCTGTATTTCATCTAGGAGCTAAGAATTCACTAAGTGTACACGTTGACTTTACAGAACTTAACGACTACGGATGACAATTGACTGTGTGTATACCCATTCACTACCCAGTTTATTTTTTCCCCTAAGAGAAGAGTAAGAGTGCCTCTGATGGCTTTGTTTCTACCTTTGCAAATTACGGGCAGGGATGGGACAGCCAGACGTGTCCCCTTCACTGACAGGGTAAAAGAATCAAGGAAAAGAGGCCTGAATAGTTAGGACTCACCACTAGTGCCACGGCGAATCTCGCCTGCAAGGGGACTGGGGCTGCAGGGCACTGACTCAGTGGCAGCTTTGCACATGTCCTATAAAAAAAGAACAGGCACTTGGGTCACCACAGAAGAATCATGCATGGACCTAGAGATCTAAGCAACACCATGAGGATCAATACCTGACTGCTAGAGAAGATTCTAACACATTTTACTCCTAACCATAAGAAAGCATCAGACACCTCCAAACTGAGGAACACTCTATAAAATATCTGACCAGTACACTGCAAAACTATCACAGTCATTGAAAAAATAGGCCAGGTGTGGTGATTCACACCTGTAATCCCAGCACTTCGGGAGGCCAAGGTGGGTAGATCACCTGAGGTCAGGAGTTTAAGACCAGCCTGGCCAATAGTGAGACCCTTATCTCTAGAAAAATTAAAAAATTAGCCAAGTATGGTGTCACGCACCTGTAGTCCCAGCTATTCAGCGGCTAAGGTGGTAGGATCACTTGAGCCCAGGAGTTTGAGGCTGCAGTAAGCTGTGATTGTACCACTGCACTCTAGCCTGGGTGACAGATTGAGACCCCGTCTCAAAAATAGATGAAAGATGGCCAGGTATGGTGGCTCACACCTGTAATCCCAGTCTTTTGGGAGGCCGGGGGAGGTGGATCACCTGAGGCCAGGAGTTCAAGACCAGCCTGGGCAACACGGCAAAACCCCATCTCTACTAAAATTACAAAAAATAGCTAGGCATGGTGGCGCATGCCTGTAATCCCAATCACTTGGGTGGCTGAGGTACGAGAATCTCTTGAACTCGGGAGGTGAAGGCTGCAGTGAGCCAAGACAGCACCACTACACTCCAGCCTAGGCAACAGGGTGGGATTCTGTCTCAATAAAATAAAATAAAATAAAGAGGCCAGGCGCAGGGGCACACGCCTATAATCCCAGGTACTCAGGAGGCTGAGGTGGGAGAATCACTTGAACCTGGGAGGCAGAGGTTGCAGTGAACCAAGATCGTGCCACTGCACTCCAGCCTGGGCAATGGAGTGAGACCCTGTCTCAAAAATAAATAATAAACAAGTGAAGGAAGGGAGGGAGGAAGGGAGGGAGGGAGGAAGGAAGGAAGGGAGGGAGGGAGGAAGGGAGAAAAGAAGGAAGGGAGGAAGGAAGGGAGGAAGGAAGGAAGGAAGG